GAAAATCTGTCTCCGGAGTTCTTTTACCCTGTTTCCCATCGTTTGGCAGTTAAAATCTTCCAAAGTTTCCTCCATTTCGTGTCTTATACACTACACCTAAGATCCGTACATTGTCAAAATCAGCCCAAAAACATCCCAAACAGACTGCAACTCCATGACGGTGGCGGTGATGGCTGTCTTACAAATGGTGGCATCGCCGATCCTGAAGAAGCTCCTCACTGATACTTCGACGTACCTCGGGGTTGACATGGCGAGTGAGCTCCATGACCTTGAGACCACCATCATGCCACAGTTCGAATTGATGATTGATGCGGCTAACAAGAACAGCCACAGGGCTAAGCTGGACAAATGGATCCAAGAGCTCAAACAAGCCTTCTTCAGCGCAGAAGACTTGCTGGATGATTATGAGTATAACCGCCTTGAGAGCAAAGCGAAGAGCGGGAAGGATCCCTTGCCACGACATGCCTGTACCACCAGCACTATTATGAAGCCTGTGCATTTTGTGTCCAACCGGTTGTCAAATATGTCCTCCAACAACAGGAAGCTAATTCGCCAACTGAAGGAACTGAAGGCCATTCTGGCAAAAGGCAAGGAGTTCCGTGATCTTGTTTGCTTACCAGCTGGCAACACTGCAGAGGGCCCTGTTGTACAAGCAGCCGTTGTTCCTCAGGTCACATCAATTCCACCTCCGAATGTAATAGGTCGTGACAAGGATCGCGACAATATAATAAACCTTCTTACCAAGCAGGTTGGTATTGAGTCTAGTTCAGCTACATATTCGGGTTTGGCTATTATTGGAGCAGGAGGCATGGGAAAATCCACCTTGGCACAATATGTTTACAATGACGAGAGGGTAAAAGAACATTTTGATGTCAGGATGTGGGTGTGCATCTCACGCAGACTTGATGTTGAACGTCATACACGGGAGATTATCGAGTCTGTGGTGGAGGGCGAATGCCCACGTCTTGGTAATCTTGATCCTCTCCAGTGCAAATTAAGGGGCTTGCTGCAAAACTCAAAGAAATTCCTGCTTGTATTGGATGATGTTTGGTTTGAAGAATCTGGCAATGAGATGGAATGGGAGCAACTCCTGCGTCCATTAGTTTCTGAGCAGACTGGAAGCAAAGTTTTGGTGACTTCTCGATCGAATATACTTCCAGCTTCTCTTTACTGTAACAAGATTGTTCCTTTGGAAAAGATGGAAGACGCCGAGTTCTTGACACTCTTCAAAAATCATGCCTTTTCTGGAGAAGAAATCGGAAATTGTAGGCTACGTCAGAAGCTAGAAGAGATTGCAGAGAAGATTGCCAATAGACTGGGACGATCTCCTTTAGCAGCAAAAACAGTGGGTTTACAGTTGAGCAGGACAAAGGATACCACTTCATGGAATTATGCTCTAAAGACGGACAACTTAAATGATCCCGGGAGAGCTCTGTTGTGGAGTTATGATAAGTTAGATCCACGTCTGCAGAGATGCTTTCTATATTGCAGCTTATATCCAAAAGGCTATCGCTATAACATGAGGGAGTTGGTTCATCTGTGGATTGCAGAGGGATTTATTGATTCGTGCAACGAGAACAAAAGAGTGGAAGATATTGGAAAAGATTACTTCAGTGAGTTGGTCTCTGTTTCATTCTTTCAATCAGTTACCGAGATAAACTCTACTACATCCTATGTTATGCATGATCTTATTCATGATTTGACACAGTCACTCTCTATAGAGCATTGTTTCACATTGGAAGATGATAAGATGGCAGAAATACCAAGCACTGTTCGACACTTATCTGTTCGTGTTGAGAGTATGATACAGCATAAGCAAAGCATTTGCAAGCTACATCATTTACGTACTATTATCTGCATTGATCCAATTATAGATGATGTAAGTGATGTTTTTAGTCAGATACTGCGGAATTCGAAGTTGCGTGTACTATATTTGTCAGTCTTCAACAGTGGCAAGTTGCCAGAATCAATAGGTGAGCAGAAGCATCTTAGGTATTTAAACATGGTCAATACGTGGATTTCTGAATTGCCAAGATCATTATTTACCCTTTACCACTTACAGTTCCTTAAGTTCAGTCCCAAAGTTGAGAATTTGCCTGAAAATCTTTGCAATTTAAGTAAGCTGTGGTATCTTGAAAGGCACAGTTTGTATGGTAATAGAATAAAAGATCCATACAACAATGCTCTGCCTCAAGTTCCTAACATAGGCAAGCTTACTTTGCTCCAAGAACTTAGTTATTTTTCTGTGCAAAAGCAGAAGGGATATGAGTTGTGGCAGCTGAGGGAGATGAACGGCCTTGGTGGCTCTTTAAATGTTACACATCTTGAGAATGTCACAATGGATGAAGTTTTGGAGTCAAACCTACACCAGAAAACTCATCTGGAAAGCTTGCAGCTTGGCTGGAGTTATATGGATGACATAAATGTAGAGGACAGTTTACACCTGAAGATTCTGGAAGGCCTGATGCCACCGCCTCAACTTAGGGACCTCGCAATTGAAGGTTACAGATCTGCAAAATATCCAGGTTGGTTTCTTGAGGATTCACATTTTGAGAATTTGGAAAACTTTGTGCTTGTTAATTGCACTGCGTTAGAAAGCCTACCAACCAATGCAGAACTCTTCAGGAATTGCTGCTCACTTCGCCTCAAGAATGTGCCAAACCTAAAGACATTACCTTGTCTTCCAGCAGGTCTTAAAACGTTATCAATTGCAAAGTGTCCACTGCTTATATTTGTTTCCAGCGTTGAACCAGAACAGCATGATCAGTGGGAGGACATTATGAATACAGACCAATTGGTATCAAACCTTTCTTTGATCGTGAGTGGGTTTCAGGTATCAGACACACGGGACATAGTATCATTGGAATTTTCATCTTTGGAGCAGTTGATGGCATTGATGGATGCGGATATGTCACATCTTGAAAACATTAGAAGTGTTATAGAAAGAAAGGAATTTGTGATAAAGGATAGCATCAATGCATGGATATGTTGCCACAAAGAGAGGATGAGACTCATTTATGGAAGGAACATTGGGCTGCCTCTGGTTCCAACATCAGAACTAACCCAGCTTGAACTTTCTTCATGCAATATTACAGATGGGGCATTAGCTGTTTGCCTTAATGGTCTCACTTCACTGGAAATTTTGCGCTTAAATGAGATCATGACTTTGACTACACTTCCGTCTCAAGAGGTCCTCCAACATTTGACAAACCTAACAGAGCTGGATATCAAGTCTTGCTGGTGTCTCAGGTCATTAGGGGGTTTACGAGCAGCTACCTCTCTTTTGGAAGTCTGTTTAATTTCCTGCCCTTCTCTAGACTTGATGAAAAAGGGTTTCCCCCCGCTTTGTATTCCAAAGCAACCAACCGAAACATCCAAGGATAGGTGCTGGGGCGGAAGCAGCACAGGCACACCCAAAAGAAACGAAAGAGAAACAACAAGAGAAAAGAATGCCGACAACGGCGGATCGACGGAAACGAAGAAGCTTCACGACCACTGCGCCCACCGAAGATCTCCCACCAAGCTCCAAGGCTCCAAAGCACCGGTACCAATCAGCACCTCCAAGAAGGACCGCGACGAAGACGACGCTGCTGCCAAGGGTTTCCCCCGGTACACGACGAGGCGAGAGGAAAGGTCGCCCCTGACGCCCTCCAGGAAGGTCCGGCGGCACCCACCGGCGTCGCCGCGTCGGGGTCGGACAGGCCGACAGGGGTTTCCCCCGATCCCAACCTTCACCTCAGGTGCTCCAGAGCCTGCCACCAAACCGACCACCCTCTTGCGCCACCATGGTCAAGAAGCCTCCACGCCGTCTCACCACGGCACCATGAGGTGAGGACTGCACAACAAGGGATAGGAGCCGGGACTAGGGGCCGCAGCGCCGTCGGCACGCGGGAGGGCACAACCTCCACCGCCAACGACGGTAGCCGACCGGACACACTAGCAGGAGCCTACCAGGCCCATGTGCCCACAGGCCCGGCCGGGAACTCCATCCCCGGACAGCTCCCGCCATCGCGCTGCAGCAGGCACGCCATCGGCATCGCCGCCCCCCATCCGAGCCGCTCCTCCTCCTCACCGCACAGACGACGATGAAGCCACGCCAGGGACCGGCCCGCTAGGACCCAGATGGGGCCGGGAGGGCCCAGATCTGGGCCGGGGACGCGCCGCCGGCCACCGCACGCCACCACGTCGTCCTGCTGCCAAGGGCAGCACCGCCACCGCGCCGACCGCCGACGACCGCTGCCGGGTCACCGGGCCGCCGCCCAGCCGAGCATCACCGCCGCCGTCAACTGCCCCGGGAGGAAGACGAGCGCGCGGGTACAGACGGGCCCGCCGCCGCCGGCAGCACCCGGGCCAGCGCCGGGGCACCCGCCGGCGGCGGCGGGGGAGAGCGCACAGGGTGGTGGCCGAGGGAAGAGGAGGGGTGCGCCGCCCCGGCCACCTCCCGGGGAGGCGGCGCAGGGGCGGGAACAGGATGGGGAGGGGGAAAAGGGGGGGCGCGCGAGCCGGCGGCCGGCGGCGGCGGGAGGGGGCTAGGGCGCCGCCGGCGGCGGCGGCGGAACCCTAGCGGGAGGGAGCGGGGGGATGAAGAACAGCACCCGCCCTTCTCTAGACTTGACAGATGGAACAGATGAACTGCCGTTATCTCTTAAGAATCTATATATATACCGGTGCGTGCTTGCAGCTAATTTCTTCAGTAGTGGCCTGCCGCACCTGACAAACCTTGGCATGGTTGGCTGCAGAAGCTCTGCATCCTTGTCGATTGGTCATCTGACCTCCCTTGTATCATTAAGACTACGAGATCTCCAGGATCTGTGTTCTCTTGAAGGACTTCCTTCCCTGCAACTTCACGACTTAGAGTTGAAAGATGTCCCGAAGCTCAACGCCAAGTGCATGTCACAGTTTCGGGTGCAGAAAGCACTTACTGTTAGCAGCCCTGTGATACTCAACCACATGCTCGGCGCTACAGGTTTTACAGTTCCAGAATTTCTCTCCCTTCAAGGATGCAAGGAGACATCCCTTTCATTCGAAGAATCTGCAAATTTCTCATCCGTGCAGCACCTGATATTATATGAATGTGAAATGAGGTCCTTGCCAGGAAATCTCAAGTGCCTGACCAGTCTGATACGACTTGATATCGGCTACTGTCCCAACATATCATTTTTACCTGATCTGCCATCCTCCCTCCAACGTATATCTGTTTGGTATTGTGAGCACTTGAAGAAGAGTTGCCAAGCACCTGATGGAGAAAGCTGGCCAAAGATTGCGAGTATCCGTTGCAAGGAATTCATATGAACTATGATTTCAGATTGAAAGTGCATTATATCGACTACAGGGGGATGAATAGGCGATTTTTATAAAAGTCTTCAAAACGTGAAGGTTATGAAGACAAACAGTAGAGATATGCCTATCACTATGCAGCGGAAGTTAGATTACACTAGGCAAGCCATGGTCAAGTGTTCAATAGAGTGAAAGCACAATGACAAGTAGCTGCGGTGTAATAAGGATCAGGTAGGAAGAAGTTATGAAGCCAATCAAATCATACAGTTACGTTGTGAAGACAAGAGATAGAGCAAGCATGCAATGGCTTCACAATGAGTATCAGTAAGTAAAAGGAAGTGAAGATGAAACCAGTGACTCGTTGAAGACAATGATTTGTTGGACCAGTTCCAGTTGCTGTGACAACTGTACGTCTGGTTGGAGCGGCTAGGTATTTAAACCAAAAGACACACAGTCCCGGACACCCAGTCCTGAACACGCAGCTCAGGACACCCAGTCCTCACCGTAATCTCCTTGAGCTAAGGTCACACAGACCTCGCCCAATCACTCTGGTAAGTCTTCAAGGTAGACTCCAAAACCTTCACAGACTTCGTTCACCGGCAATCCACAATTTCTCTTGGATGCTCAGAACGCGACACCTAACCGTCTAGAGGATGCACAGTCCTCAAGTGTAATAAGTCTTCAGACCACTCAGACAAGAAGACTTACGTGATGCCCAATTTACTCTGGCTCTGGGTGGTTAGGGCTTTTCTCCTCGCTAGGAATTTTCTCTCAAAGGCTTCGAGATGGGTTGCTCTCAAACGACAAAAGCCGTGCACTGAAATCTGAGCAGCTGACCGTTTGTGGTTGTAGGGGGTGGACTATTTATAGCCACTGGGCAACCCAACCTGATTTGTCCGAAATGACCCTGGGTCACTAAGGAACTGACACGTGTTCCAACGGTCAGATTTTGAACTCACACGGCAACTTTACTTGGGCTACAAGTAAAGCTGACTTGTCCGACTCTGGACAAGATTTGCTCTCATAGTCTTCGCTCGAAGACATAGGATTTTGAATTAGGCATCACTTCAGTCATTCTGACTGATTCTCTTGGACCCCACTTAACAGTACGGTGGTTCCTATGACTCAACACAAATGAAAAAGAACTACGAAAGATCTAAGTCTTCGAGTTCCATTGGCTTCACGTGGTGTCTTCTCTTGTCATAGTCTTCAATATGAATATCTTCATATACCACCATTGTCTTCAATGTCTTCGTACATTTTTGGGGGTCATCTCTGGTAGTAAACCGAATCAATGTGGGACTTCTACCTGTGTTATCCTGCAATTCTCACAAACACATTAGTCCCTCAACTAGGTTTGTCGTCAATACTCCAAAACCAACTAGGGGTGGCACTAGATGCACTTACAATCTCCCCCTTTTTGGTGATTGATGACAAACTAGTTGAAGTTTTCAACGGGGAATATAATTTGTGAAATTGTAAAGGAATTGTCTTCATAAGCTACAAGGGCTCCCCCTGAAGATGTGCATATAAGTAATTTGCTTCTTGAATGCAAATGCACATGGCAGGTTGTACTTGTGGAGACCCACTTCAACTTATGATGACAATCCACTATGCATGTAAAAGTATATGAAGATAATGACATGCATAATGAAAAATGGACGTCTGCAGAATGATCTAAGTGCGGAATTTATCGTCGCACATGCGGAATTTATCTTCGCAAAACAAAGTGGCAAACAAGTAGCAGACGACCATCGAGTCTAAGTGTTACAACTCAAAGAAGCAAATGTAGCAGAACGGGAGTTGTAAGCACGAAGCAAAATGTAGCAAAATATAAGGCACCCGCCCATATTGACCCGCTTGAAGACTATAAACATCATATGCTTCTCCCCCTTTTGTCAGTGATGACCAAAAAGGTTTGAAGACATAGAGTTTTTCTACGCGTTTCCATGCGCAGCAGGGTCGTTGGAGTTGTTTGGCGGTGCTGAAGAGCTTGGTGCCGAGTCGACGCGCGCTGAAGGAGGTGGTGGTGATGTAGCATCGTCTTCTTCCTTGATTATCCGTGCAGTCACCGTGGCAACAGATGAAGAGAACTCTGAGTTTTCAAGTGACGGAGTTCCGCGTAGCACAGCCCTTCTGGGAGGTGTGGAGTCAAACTTGAATCGCTCTCTGAAGCCATCCTCATGAAGATCAGCTTCAGAGCACAGCATTGTGAGTCCTTTCCAAGTGCGGCGACAAGTTTCATGTGCAATGAATGCATTCTTGGTGGCAAGATTTCTGATGCGATTGACATCCACCAAGAGGCTTTTCATCTGTCTCTTCAACCAGTCGTGATGCCTATCCTGCTTTTGATGAAGGGCCACAAGAAGCTCTCGGTCAGTGAGAGTACGAGCATGCTTCTTGGGTCTTTGAGCAGGTGTGCTGTCAGTGGCTTCAGTTGATGCAGGGTGTGGTGCACGTGTAGTGCCAGCCAACGGATACACCCTTGAGATGACTTCAACACCTTCAACATTCTGAGTGAAGCTCTGGTGTTCTGCATTCTGAAGACACAGAGGTTGCTTGGCAGGCTCAGGATATATGTCTTCAGCAGAGGTATCCACATCTGGCAAGAAAATTTGATGGTTGCGGGCTGAGGGCTGATATGAAATCGCAGAGTGAAGCTTGATCAGCCTCATTACCCAAGGAGCATAGAACTTCAAACCAAATAAATCTGAGCCTGATGCTGCAAATTGGCGTATGAAGAAATCCTGCGCATTGAACCATTTGCCATGAAGGATATAGAATATCAGAGTCTTCATTGCACCCTCAATCTTGGCATGTGGAGAGTGTCCCTTAATGGGCCAGAGAGTCCGCCGGATGATGTGATATATGGTTCTGGGCAGGTACTCAAGGTCTTCAACGAAGAACTCTGTTGGATAAGGTGCATCGTGGGGCAATGGCTTCATCATTGAGAGCATCTGACTCATATTTGGTTCAGGCCTCTGGAATATGCTCTCAATAGCTTCAGCATGTAGTTGACAGCCTTCCTCGTAGAATTCGCCAGGAGTGGGCAGGCCGGTGAGCTCAATGATATCAAATGCATTGGCTTCGTGATGGACATTGCCAGTCATCCACTCCAGGACCCAAGTCTTCGGATCTCTGTTGTATCCTTTGATGTGGAGGGTGGCATAGAATTGTAGTAGAAGCTCTTCATTCCAGTGCTCCTCATCAGTCACAAACTGCAGCAGACCCACTTGCTTAAAGCAATCCAAAGCTTCCTCTAAACAGGGCAGACCAGCAATGGCTTCAACATCAAGGCGCTTGTGCGGGAAGATGTGACCTTTGTTGTATAGGATGCATGAATAGTAGCTGCGCTGAGGATAGCTCCAGAACCTATTTGATACAATCCTTTCCCTTGAATAGGGGTTCTTGGAGCTGTTGAAGAACGTATTATCTGCCTTGAAGCTATTGATGTTAAAGGAACCAGGTGTTGATGCAGGATAGCTCTAGAACCTATCTGATACAATCCTTTCCCTTGAATAGGGGTTCTTGGAGCTGTTGAAGAACGTATTATCTGCCTTGAAGCTATTGATGTTAAAGGAACCAGGTGTTGATGCAGGACCTAGGAACCTTGGCAGTCTTGGGATTGGCGTCTGGACTTGAGGCATGTGCTCAACATGGTAATCAAATTGAGGACCTGCAGCAGACTCAGGAACAGACGTGTCTGGATCAGTAGCTTCACTATCTTCTGAAGCTTTTGGTGGGGAGGGCTCCACATTGGCTTCAGTGTTGGTTGTGGCAGCCACAACATTTTCAGCCTCCACTTGTGTAGTTGGAGGGATAGACTCAGGCACGTACTCCTGGAGAACTGCTTCTTGTTGGAGCGGGGGAGTTGGATCTTGTGGTACTTCTTCATTGTCTTCGGCTGATGCAGCCGGAATATCGTCAGCGGATTCTTGAGGCCTTGGACCTTTGTGAAGCCTGCGAAATGCAGACGACACTTGTGGAGTTGGAGTGGGCTGGACCTCAGATTCTTCTTTCACTTATGGGCGATCCTCTCATGACGCATCTTGTGCAATTGGCGTCAGAGGACGACCAATGCTGATGAGTTCGCTTGTTTCAAGCTGAGGAAGGGCTGCATCATCTTGTACATTGTCCTGGTGACCAATGTCTTCAGCAGCGATGGGGTCGGCTGCTGGAATATCTTCAGCTTCAGAAGCCTCGGTGGGAGCAGGCTCATGAACTGTCAGCTGACGATATGCGTCAGGATAGATGACAGAGAGGGGTTCAACCATCAAGGGCTCTGTGGGAGCAGCCCGAGCTTTCTTGATCTTGCGCTTCTTCTTGGTGGGGTCAGAAGGAGAGGCTTCAGCGTGTTTTCTCTTCCTTGCTTCAGCCTCAGCAGTCCGTGTCTTCTTGAGCTCTGAAGCGGTTGACCGGCTCTTTGGCTTCGAGCCAGTCGTTGCGGTTGGGAAGACAATCGGAACAGCTTCTTGCCTTGGTGTTTCTTGTTCAGCCATAGCAGGCTTCTTCTTCTTCTTCGCGGCCATCCTGGGGTCGATGCCGGGACGCCCAAGTGCCTTGCGCTTCTCAGCCTCGGTATAGGCTTGCACACAGCGATCAGCCAGAGTCTTCATTCGCTCCCGCGAACCCTGAGCTTCTGCATGCTTCTTCAGAAAGTTTTCCTTTAGCTCGTGCAACATGATCTTGAAGTTCTTGACTTCTTGCACGCTGAGGGTGGCCATGTGCTTCTTGAACTGAGCCTTTTCAAAATCAATTTTCTGCTTCAATTCAACAATGCGTTGAACAATTGCAAGTTCTGAAGCAATAGCGCCTTGGAAGGTGACGCTGAGGCCTATGGGCAGCTGCAGATCTTCGAAGCTTATGTTTGGTGAGGCAAACCATTCATCGATGAAGTTGTGGATGATGGCGACATCAAAGAGAGGCAGATTGTTGAAGATTTCAGCTTCCTTGCTCTTGATGAGCTGCTCAAGAGCGTCATCTCCAAGATCTTCATCGCTTGACAGATCAATGGT